CTTGGCTCGTTTGTTATGCAGGGTGAAACACACCAAGGGTATCTGTTATCTAGTCGTACACTGTAAACGGCGGTGATCCCAGGTCAGCATGTCCCTGAAACTTATCTGTAATGGCCACTTTAATATCGCGCAGCAGTTCCAGCCTTCGCTCCTTGGCGACTTGCTGTGATCCCAGTGTTCCGCTCTGGACCTTAACCGCAGGCCCCCGACTCGCATAGCATAGTCTGACAGTACGATTCTTTCTACCAAGTCCTGAGAGCATTAAGCACTGGCAGCCCCCACAACGTCTTGAGAGGGCCGCTAATCGTCTCAACAATGGAATGGCTGCGAGAATCAGGTGGCCGGCCAGAATGGGAGTCAGCAGAGATTACTCTCTCTCTGTCTCTCTCTGTCTGCTCTCATCGCATCGTCTCTCTCTCGTCATGTGTCTCTCTTGCGTCATTATCTTTCATTTCTTGCTTTTCATACCTGACAGCGTTACGTACTCTAATTTTTGACAGGCTTTACTATATCTCCGCGGAACCCGAGTGATCTTGATAGCAGACATATGCTATGTGTGAATTTCCCAGGGTACACGCGTTCAGCGCGATTGGCATGATTGCCAGTAACATTGAATTAATCGTACGTGCGTGCGTGCGTGCGTGCGTGGCGTGCATGCCGTCGTAAAGTTAGTCGTGGGTGTCAGTGTGTGTGCGGCGAGTGCGTGACGTGCGTGCGTGCGTAGTTAGTCGCGGGTGTCAGCCGTGCGTGCGGCGTGCGTGCCGTAGCGTGGCGTGCTAGTGCGTAGTTAGTTCGTGGGTGTCAGCGTGGCGTGCGTGCGTGGCGTGCGTGCGTGCGTTGCGTCGGCGAGAGTGCGGGCGTGCGTGCTGCGTCGTGCGTGCGTGCATAGCGTGCGTAGTTAGTCGATGGTGTCAGCGGCGTGCGTGCGTGCGTGTGTGCGTGCGTAGCGTAGTTAGTACGTGGGTGTCAGCGTGCGTGCGTAGCGTGCGTGGCGAGCGTGCGTGCGTGCGTATTAGTCGTAGGGTGTCAGCGTGAGTGCGTGCGTGCGTGCGTGCGTGCGTCGCGTCAACGTGCAGTGCGATGCGTGCGTAGGTTAGTCGTGGGTGTCAGCGTGTGTTCGGCTGATGACATGATGGTTCTGTTGCAGGCCCACTGCTCGAAGATAACTTGTAGAATGCCGACGCAGGGACTGCCGTGTCACCCACAGTACCATCAAGAAGGCTTGACCTCAGCGCTATCTCCTATTTCTCCATGACTGATATATATCCCCGGACAAGATGGCGAGGGCAGTTTAGATTGAGAAGCGTAATGTTTCGCTTTACAGTTTAATAGTTCTAGAAATTGGATAGGCCAGTAGTGTGTGTATTAATTATTATCTTTATCTGAGGGGCTTAATCCATATAATGAGGATAATTTAAATCAAAAATGGCCACATCCTGTCATTGTAAATGAACAAATAAACTAATGGTAATTGTAAAGAACTAATAAGTAATAAGTAAGAATAATTCTGGCTAGTGATTAAATTGCTGCTGCTGCTTGCTACTACTAAAACTTACTATCTAGCTGCTTGTGGCTGTTGCTGTTGCTGCCTGCTGGCTAGGTACATTGACTACTACTAGACTACTACTATAATAATAATTAATAATTAAATGATGAATTTGTTAATTATAATTATATTATCAAATAATCAGTTTACTAACTATTATTGTGAACTCTGTGTTTGAACGGCAGTTTTCTCCGTGATGGTTATTGCAGAAAGTCGTTACATGAACGACACCGCGTAAAGAAATTCGCTGATAGCGGTCAGGGCGGATCCGACAGATGCAAAGGCGCTGTAAGTCACCTGCGTGAGGCTGTGGCAATGGCGTCGACGTACAATCAACTATCCATGCGACAGGCAGTAATGTGCTCTTCATCCTCGTGCACAGTTCCGCCGATAACGAGCTCAAGTGGGGTCGCGTCATTAACGAGCTCAGGTGGGTGGGTCTGCTTCATCCTCGGCACTCGCGTCATTAACGAGCCTCAAGGTGGGTCAGCTCTCTATCCTCGTGCACTCGTCATTGAACGAGCTCAAGGTGGGTCGGTCTCTTTCATCTCGTGCACTCCGTCATTAACGGCTCAGAGTGGGTCAGCCTGCTTCATCCTCGTGCATTCCCGCATTAACGAGCTCAAGGTGGTCAGTACTCTTATCCTCGTGCACTCGGATCATTATAACGACTCAAGGTGGGTCAGCCTTTCATCCTCGTGCCACTCCGTGCATTTAACGAGCTCAAGGTGGGTCACAGCCTCTTCATCCTCGTGCACTCCGTCATTAACGAGCCTCAGGTGGGTGGGGGTCACAACACGCGTGGCTGGAGAGGGTGGTGATAGGCTGCTGGCTGGCTGGTGGGTGGCATGGCTGGCTGGAATGGGTGAATAGGACTGCTGGCTGTGCACTGGCTGCGCTGGCTGGCTGGCTGATGGCTGGCTGCTGGCTAGGCTGGCTGTCTGGCTGAGGATGGTGGTTGGCTGGTTGGCTGGTTGGTTGGTTTAGGCTTGGTGTTGGTTGGTTAGGCTGGGCTAGGTCTGGCTGGCTGGGCTGGCTGGGGCGGGTAGCCTCCCAAGAGAGAGAGACATTTTAAATCACTTGTCAGTTTCGAGCCAGATCGTAAATACAGAAACGTGCGATAGCATGGTCATAACTGTCGTTGTCCGCCGCGTTTTTATACCGTTTTTATTGGAATTTTTTGGTATTTTTTATTTTCCTTGTTTTTATCACGAGTGTAATTTTCTTTTTTCTCTCGTCGTTGTTCGCTGCAGCTGCTGCTGTTTAACCCGGTGAAGCCATTCAACAGCAGCCAGAGCAAGGCCCAGCAGGACATTGACCTCATGATCGACTGCTTCGTCTCCTGCTTCCGCATCAACCCGCACAACTTCGAGGCGCTCAAGAACTGCCTGCACCCAGCCTCGCCGTTCAGCTTCCACTTTGTTCTAGTCAACGCGCTCTACAGGATCATCACGCAGGTGCGTGCGCGCGCCGCCATCTTGCTTTCGCATGTAGTGTCGCGCGCGTTGTTATCTTGCGTTCTGATCAGTGGCAAAGTTTTCACTTATTCTATTATTGTTATTGGGAATCTAATGGCTGATTTCACTCTTGCTTGTAGACGCGTCTGCCCTGGTGGCCAAAGATAGAGATCGTCTATAACAAGTCGTCAGAGCTCCGACTCATGTTCACTGACTGCCTCACCAAAGTCACACAGATTGCTGGCCATACCTCCCACAAGGGGGCGCATGTGAGTGTCGACGTTGTAGTTCCTCTCTGTTGCCCCTAGCGGGTATAGTGTGTGTGCTTCTCGGAAGATTGTTGCGTTAGTTGAAATTTATGATTTACTGCATTATTTTATAATGATTTACATACACACATAAGCAATGCTTAAGTGCTAGTCTGTGTAAATATAAATGAATAAATAAATACTTTTATTTTTAAGATTTTATATTTTTAGACTACACATATACATGATATTACATACACATACACACATACATATATATATATATATGATATGTTTATTAATTTTTTTAGTTTCTGAAAGAGAAGGTGTTTAATCCACCGCTGGGATTCAAAGGCAAGCCGGTTGAGGAAGGGCCAAACTACAAGTACCTGTTACTGTGGCTAGTCAGACTTATCCATGCTGACCCAATCCTCATGCTTCACGTAAGTCCATGCTGACCCAATCCTCATGCTTCATGTAAGTCCATGCTGACCCAATCCTCATGCTTCATGTAAGTCCATGCTGACCCAATCCTCATGCTTCATGTAAGTCCATGCTGACCCAATCCTCACGCTTCACGTAAGTAGCATTGCCTGAGCTCGAATCCATCACGCACCTTTCATGCCGTAAGTCTATGTGCTGGACGCCAATCCCATGCTTCATGGTAGTGTCCATGCTGATCCAGATCCTCACCGCTTTCATGTAAGCTCCTATGCTGACCTCAATCCTCACGTCTTCACGTAAGTCCTGCTGACCTCAATTCCTCATGCTTCACGGTAGAGTTACAATGCTGACCCAATCCTCGATGCTTGCACGTAAGTCCATGCTGCCGCAATCCTCGACGCTGCATAGTAAGGCTCCATGCGACCCAATCCTCTATGCTTCACGAAGTCCATGCCTTGCACCCAATGCCTCTACGCTTGTCAACGTAAGGTCCATGCTGACCCAAATCCACGCTGTCATGCGTAAGATCCCAGTGTCTGACGTCATATCCTCAGCTGCTCACCGGTAAGTCCATGCTGACGCGCAATCCTCATGCTTGCACGTAAGTCCATGCGAACCACAGTCCTTCATTGCTTCATGTAATATCCATGCTGACCGCAATCCTCATGCTTCACGTAAAGTCCAGATGCGTGACCCAATTCCTCGACGGCTTACAACGTAACGTCAGTGCTGACCCAATCCTCATGCTTCAATGGTTAAGTCCATGCTGAACCAAATCAAAACAGCGTAAGTAGCCCATCGCAGATGGTTGAACTCTATGATAGCCGGAATTTTTTGAAAAAAAGCCGAATTTTGAAAATAAAATGTGGAACTATCTGTGTTCTATATGCAGAGAGATTCGATCTTCCCGTAAAGAGTTATAGACCTGACTCTTGAAATTCTACTGTGCATCTTGCCTTCTTTTCGAGCAGTCTGCTAGTGTTGTTCGCTGCAAAATGTTCCGTGAAGTTTCCGTTTCTTCTTCCATGGAATGCTGCCTCTATGACACAAATCTTGTTTTCTATGTAAGAGGCGAATGTGAATTTATCTGCAAGCATGCTCTTGGATGTGTCAGTTTTTTTGTCTGTGTGGCACCTTAGATGTGCGATTTTTTTGTTTTATCCGAAACCGAGCACCCCTATAGGACGTGGGTATTTAATCCACACAGCACTCGAAGTGATATATATATTTTTCTGGCGCGTTGTAGAAACCCAGGCTTAGGCGGGTCGAGCGAGTTACAGGACCGACTTCACTGGACTATCCTGAATCAGCATATTGATTAAGTCGCTTTAGTTTTGATCTGCGTGGCGCACCATTTCAGCAGACGTTCTCCATTGTCTGCTTCTAGGAACCGAAAGGCGGCCCACGAGATATCAGAGCAGGCATCGCTGGGAAGCTTGATCGAAGTGTCCGGTGTCCGCTCGTGCATCAGGCGTGCGATGGCCGAACGATCCGCGTCTCAGGAGGCGATGGAGGGCGCTGCTAGAGTGTCTGGCCCAACCCGAGCAACATCGAGCCTTGGAAGCCCCGAGGCACCGCATCAACACGTTCTGGGACGTGAGGTGTTGAGTGCTTGGTCTTGCCGAACTGTGCTCATTTGCCTCGTCGTCCACGACACTTTCAGTGACGGCATGTCGCGAAAGCTGAGGAAGCAATGGCTTGCATATACTTGCTTTCCTGCATCTCACACCGCTTCGTGAAGTGCGGTGATCGGAAGCTGACGAAGCTGTGGCTTTCCTTTATCAGGTTTCCTTCATCTGTCACACACTTTCTGTGAAGTGCGGTCGGGAAGCTGACGAGTCGTGGCTCATATAGTCGTTGTTCCACGTCTGCATCACGCTTTCGTGAAATGCCGGATCGGTAAGCTTGACGAGTCGTGGCTTCGCTTTACGTTGCAGTTTGCAGGTGCTTCTTCTCCAGATCTTGCACAGAAGCTCATCCAGTCATCAATCATCAATTACACAGAGATCCTCAAGGTGGCTGCGAGAGATCCCTCAGCTGCTGCAACCAAATTTCCTGGCTCAAGCACGAAGACCTGACGTCTCAAATGTTGCAGCAACATACTCCATCTGCCGCAAGCGCACATCAAGCTGGAGGTGAGCGCGTGCGGCACGGGCGACGTCCGTTCGTCGTGGCAACATGCGGTGGTCGTTGCGACATCGGTTCTTCGTCTCGTGGCGACGTCCGGTCGTCTGTGGCAACAATGGTTCGTGAACCGACGTCGTCCTTGTCTCGTTGTCAACGTCAGCCTGCTGAATGTCAATGATTTTGCTTTACAGTCCATGATTGGTGGCGGACTATATTGGTAAGGATGCAATGACGCTTGGCTTCCTATGTAGAGCATTAGCTGTTATCTGCTGTGTCAGCGCACCATGCGTGTAAGCCGACCTCTGTCTAGTTCACGTGCCTAAGTGGGCGTACGGAATTTTGCAGTGAATGAAAACATAATTGTCAATATGTAATGACGCATGGAAGGGTCTGTTTGAATTGGCCGTTGATGCACAGACGTACTTGCCCCCAATGAGAGCGACACGGGCACTCTATCCGGAAGTCGAATCGTTTATTTCTACTATATGCTTCGGCAAGAAGACACTACTGGTGAAGTCACAGTTCACAAAGTTCACACCCCGGTTGCCAGGTTGTGAATCGCGGTGTTGGTCGTATACTTTGCTCTGCTAGGATTGGAGACCCTGGTTGACTAACGTTCACGGTGGCTGGTCCATTGTCACCGCGCCAGGTGGTGTTCTTGCAGTGTACCTGTGGAGGTATCGACATCCGACGCCGACTGACGGCCCAATCGTGCCTGCTCGGCGTCGTGCTGGTGCGAGGAGCGCCGTGACATAACCTGACGCTCAGACGCAGCTCGCCGTCACTCACCTGCGTCCTTAATTACTCAGTACTCCCTCACTCACGTGCTTGCCTAATTGACGCAGGTACGGCCGTCACTCTCACGCTTCCCTAGCCATTGCTCCTATTACCAGTAACCGTCACTCACCTGCTTACCTATTACCAGGTACGGCGTCACTCACTGCTGCTCCGTGAATACCAGGTACCTCACCACTCTCTCCTAAATTACCAGGGTACGGTCCGTCCACTCACTCTCTGCCTAATTTACCGAGGTAAACGGCCGTCGACTACACGCTGCTTGCCGGTAATTACAAAAGGTACGCCGTCCACTGACATTACACCTGCTTCTAATTACCGAGGTACGAATAGTTTCACCGTCACTCACACTGCCTGCCTAAATTACCAGTCGCCGTCACTCATCCTGCTGCCTAATTACTCAGGTACGGACGTCCACATCACCGTGCTGCCTAATTCACCGGAGGTACGCCGTCAGCACGGACACTCTGCTGCCTAATTACCAGGTACGCTGTCCCACATGCTTCTACCTGCTACCTAATACCAGGTACGCTGTCCCACACATGTTTTTCCTGCTACCTAATTACCAGGTACGTTGATCCAGAGAACTAGTGATATGTTCATCTCGGTCGGGGAACGCGCGGGCGGGGGTGGTGTCGGGTGTCGTGAGCGTCTCCCCGGACGCGGTGGCTGATCGAGCGGGCGTTCGCCGCTTCTCTGCGCAGGTGTATTCGGAGCTGGCAGCAGCGAGCCGTGACCTGACGACGGGCCGCGCAGCCCTGCAGAAGAAGATCATGTCACTGCTGAGGAAGATTGAGCATTCGACGCAGGGCTGCACGCAGGTGAGGCGACGGGACGCGCGGGCGCGCGAGTGATCACCGTGATCGTTCGATAATCATCGTCACGCTTCCAGGGTTCGATTGCGAGTAAACTGTCTGTTTGTAGCAATTTTGACTCTCTACTGCAAAGTCGGCATTTTGGCCCGCGTGACAATCGTGCCGGAAAATGAAATCATGTATTACAGGTCTGCAACATCAGACGTTTAACATTCAGAGCTGATCGACTGCAAAACCAATCACCGTTCTAATAAATATTTCTAATTTCATCGTTTTTAATCTCACCAATCCTCATCATACAGTCATTCATATGCTTGTATAATCAAAATAAATAAATAAATAATTAATGAAATAATTACATAAAAATGTATTTATTATCAAATGCTACTTTATGTTTTGTTACTGTTAGCTCTTGAAACTTTGAAACTTTGAACTGTGAAACTTTGCACTTGTGATACTTGTGGAATTTATCCAGTTGGGTTTTCTTGTTGTGTAGGCCTGGGAGGATACATTCAGGAACTGGGAGTGTGTGAAGAAGATGCTTGTTACCTATCCTAAGTCGGCCGACCACAGCCGCTGCGAGGATCAGATCAACGAGTGGGCCAACATGACGGGGTTTCTTTGTGCGCTAGGGGGCGTCTCCTTACAGAAGAAAAGCCCTGCCCGACCTAGGTAAGGTGGTGCCATCTGTTGTCACAATATGGAAACTTTTTCACCCTCTTTACTCCTAAATATATGTTGTATAGTTGTATGTTGTAAATATATACTTGTGTTCCATCATGTACAATCCTAACTATTGTACACTAATTGGGTATTATATTGTGGTCTATTAGATTATTACTATTAGTATATGTTATATGATGCATAATGAGTAGGTATTATTTGTGGGATGTGTTTATCAGGGTTTGGTGATGGCATTAACACTGCGTGTGATTTTTGCAGCAGTATGTCAGCCTCCACGACGTCGCTACTGACCGATCCGCGCAAGTACAGCATGCTACCAGGGGGCAGCATCGAGCTACAATACTGTCCGGTCACCGAGTGAGTATACCATCTATCACAAGTCGTGGCTGCACGAGGGAATCGTCACGGCGATCGATAACACGTGATAAACTTGACAAGTACATTAACGTTAAACCCGTGAACGTGAACGCGATTGCGTATGGGTAGGCTTTAATCATGGTTTCTCCTCTTCTCCATCTTTAATCATGGTTTCTCTTCCTCTCCAGCTTTAATCCATGGTTTCTCCTCCTCTCCTCCATCTTTTAATCATGGTTTCTTTCTCCTCCTCGTCCATCTTTAATGCAATGGCTTCCTCGTTCCTCTCCATCCTTTTAATCAATGGCTTTCTCCTCCTCTCTCATCTTTAATCATGGCTTCTCTCCCTCCTCGCATCTTTAATCACTGGCTTCCGTCCTCCCTCTCGCATTTTCTTTAACCATGGTTCACTCGCTTCCCCTCCATACTTTAATCAATGGCTTTCTTCCTCCCCCCGAGTGTCTTCTTCATCATTTAATCATGGCATTCATCCCCGCCTCATCCATATCTTATAGAATTTCCGGATTAAGGAGTTTCACCCCTCATCACATCTTTAATCATGGCAATTCTCGCTACTAACCTCTTCTTGCCGTAGATCATCTTCACACTCGTATGCGGCGCTAACTCTTCGTTCCGCTGTCCTACCAACCCCTTGTTAAGCATTAAAGCACACTAAGGCAACCCTCAGATGGTCCTTGCAATCTCAGAGCGAGATTGTCGTAGATGTTGGGTGACGATGACGCACCCACTGTAACGGCACTACCACAGATGCTGCGACTTATGGAAAATGCTCTTGGCCAGCCTGACACTACGTAGCCTGTCAGAGCATGCTGGCCAACTTAGAAGTAGCTATTAGGAAGAAACTCTCGAGCTCTGCCAACACTAGTGTAGGCATGCTACAGCCTCCAGCTTTAAATGCCCACACTCCTTTTTTAAAAGAGAAAGATAGTATTGGCCTTGCACTGTAACGATGAGCCACCGCTCGGGAGTAATAGTCCAGTAGCACTAAAATAGGCAAGCGTTAATGTCAGTCGTGTTTGCGCATGGCAATACTTACCAAGAGTGTAATATTGGGCCAAAAATTATGCATTACAGAAACGAAGAGGAGTTATCGTAGCATAGATTTACAACGGATAACATTCATCAGTAAGACCGGACTCTAAGACCATAGGCAGGAAGACCCTTGCAGTAAGGTCCCGCTTAAAAAATGATGAAATGGAGCTTGTCGCGGCCACCAGTCCAAGGGGTACACGAGAGCTCAGCCCAATCTCCGCTACGTGCCGCTATCGATTAGTGCTAACGCGCATGGCCGAAACTCCTCTTAATACGAACACCCTCACGAGAGGAGTTTTATCAATTGTGTGACAATAATATGTATTTAACGTAACGAGAGTCGAGCAAGTTCTTCGACATACAGGGTATCCGTCTGCAGGCAGCCTCGCGGTACGTCTTTATATTGTAATGCAGTAGCAAGTAGACCTGTGTTCATGAGTCAGAGCCGAGCAGCAAAGCGGCTCCTAGCCTGTCATGTGACGTGAAAACCTAAGCCACTGACCAGTACTTATTCGTTGACACGTAACATGTTCATGACACAGTTGCACCATACATGTAAAGTTACTTTACATAACTACATAATGATTGCTACCTCGCTGCATTCGTACCACCGCACCATCATACAATCTAGAAGTGACACGGTCTTGCATCATTCCTATATTCCCTGCCGCCTGTCCTTAGTCCCCCACCTCCTCTCTCGCCTAGTAAGAATAATCATCTGGAGCGTCTTCTGTAGGCGTACTGCAGCGCCAACTGAAACGGTGCCTGCGCAAAGAGCGCAAGTATCTCCCGAGAATAATAATGACTTACAACGAATTATGGGCCTTTTAAATAAAGAGGCAGTCATTCAGGGTACAGATTTGATGTAATGAAATTTCTATCAGTTCCTATTCTTAAGTAATGAACACAGAGACTTTGCATGTAAGCGCCCCTGCGTAAGGCCAGTCAGTAACAGCAAATCTGGTCGTTGTGTATCACGCATGTCGCAAATACTCACAGAGGAGTTATATTTGTGATTAATATGCATTTCATAGGTTAGGGGTATACTCAGCCTAGATTTATGTAATAAACTTATTACAGTAGACCTGTGTTCATGATTAGGAGAGGCCGCGCCTAGCCTTAGGGTGAAAACACCCACTGTTTGAAGCGTTTATATCAGGTACTCGTGCCTCGAGACAGGCAACCTTTCGAGGTCTTCTAGCATCAATCTGGCCATTATATTATTCGGATCACTGGTGCTCGAAAACCTTTCTGAACAGGCTGACGTCGACAGGCGACCTTTCTGAAGCAGGTTAGTCGAGGTGACCGCTTACTCTGAACAGGTACGTCGAGCAACCTCGTAAGGTAATGTCGACGGCGATTTCTGAACAGTGTCTGTTTCGCCATCCGAGGGGCGTCCCCGTTGCGCGACGGGTGCAGACCCGCTCGTCGCAGTACAATACACAATCCTATTATCCCACTGTGTCTGGTCCAGAGGTTTCGGCATAAAGATTGTATACTGTTAACGTGGTTACGGGGAGCACGTGCAAACACTAGCGTTTGAAAGATCTGCACTGCTGACTTCTCACTGCTGTGCAGGGAGGACTCGCCATGGGCCTTAACCATACATCGTGGATCCCTTCCTTCAGGTGATCCGAAGACGGCCACACGACTCGCAGTTCATACCGACCACAACATCATCTCATCATGAAGAAAACCGAGAAGCACAAGTCGGGGAGAACTCGTGCTACCCAGAACCATCTCGCGTGACGAGAAACATTGAGGGCTTGAAATGCTGGAAACGTCGGTCGAATATTAAGTGGCGATTCGATAGTCTGATAAATTCAATCATAATAATACTATTACTTAATTATATATAGTTATTGATATAATGATAAAATAAATTAACTATATTTTGATATTCATGATAGTTATTATAGAATAATTATAGATATCACATGATATTATATACGCAAGTCATAAGACTGACATAGCAATGCGCTTTGTAGAATCGCATCGGATTAGTCCGTATGAGCGTGCGGGGCGGTAGCGCACTACCGTAGAGTCAGTAGCGTCCGTATTGAATAAATACCAATCCCGTGCGTCGTGCGTCCGCGTGGCGTCCGTGCGTACGTCAACAGGTTGGGCACAAATCTTAACGCGCTCGACGTACGGTCCCACGATTTCGGGACGTTGGGGGGGGTAATCCGAAAACGAGTGGGATGTCGACACAGCTGGGGGTCCAAAGGTCAAAGGTCAAGACGGTGTAAAAATAAGGGGAACAATTCACTCCTTAACTGAAGGTATAGGAGCAAATGCAGAATTGCGGCACAATCTAAATCGGCTCGAGCCTAGGCTCGTGATAGTCGGTGTAATAGCACTCATGGTAGGAAAAGCCTCCTGTCTGAAATTGGAGGTCAAGGTCAAGAGGTCAATGGCACAGGGCAGATTTTAGACACTTGTTCTTAGGCACATGGTCTTGAGCCGGAGCGATTGAAAAAATGACTTTTTTGTTTCAGGCGGTGAGCCCTAAGCATTTTAATGGCTTTATTGAAGGACCCGATGAAATGTCCCTTCTGGCTGACATCGAATCATAACGTGTCGATAACCCTTTGACCCTCAGAGAGGGGTTAAACAATGGATTTTGTTTGACTGTTAACAAGGAGTGAACTGCTTTTGCTAATTAGACCCTCCCCACCTCCCTTCCCCTCCTGCCCGCCCCTTCTCCCACCCCACCACAACCCTCCCCCCACCCTCCCTACCCTCGCAAATCTGCGATAGTGGGCGTGTCCTAACACTATCGTAGTAACCAACTGCGTGCTGCATATCTGCCGCCTAACAAATGTGGTACTAAGCACGACTGAAATTTTACGTTATAATCGAGCAACAGACCTCAGATGAGCCAGAACGCTCCTGCGGCTCTTGTTATATATATTATTAATATCAATGATGTCCGCATTCATGTTTGATTTTGTGAGTTGAAATTCAGGAGGACGGTTTTGCGATGAGCGCGTTTCTTGAATGTTTGCATTGGAGTGACGTGTTCGTGGTTGAATGGCGCAGGTATGTGAGGCATCTGGACAGCACAGTGCACACGATTCACATCAAGACCAAACTCTGCCACCTGGTGGTCGCAGTAAGTACCGTTCAGCAACGAGATGAAACGTTGTTAAAGATTTCCTTCGTTGCTAGTGACTTCACATAGCTTGCAACACTAGTGAAGTATGTGTAATGTATATATATAATATACTAATACAGTATATTTACATCAGATCTTTTTGAAGCTTCAAGTACTAATAAGTCAAATAATAGTGTTATTGATAAAACTGATATTATAATATGATGTATATATAATATGATAAAATAACTAACATAAACAATATGACAAACGTCACCAAATACGAAGTCATTGTGAGTCGGCAGTCAATGATCGCTCGACACGATCGCGACTTGAAGGCCGTGAACCTCCCACGTGTTCCAGATGATGAACAGACGGGATGACCTGTCGTTCCCGGCAGAGATGAAGTGTAGGAACAAGCTGGTGGAGTACCTCGTCGACTGGATCATGGGAAGTTCCAGCCAGCTGGTCCCGCAGCAGGGAGACATCTCCTCACTAACGAGGTGAGAGGTGGTGCATTCACCACGAGGAGCGGGGGCGTGTGTGTGTGTGTGCGTGCGTAAAGGCGTGCGTGCATGCGGGCAAGTGAGACATCTCAGGGCAAACTACTCACACGAGGTGAGAGCATGGTAAGGCGGCATCACAAGCACGGGACGGCGGGTGTGGTGCGCGTGCGTAGCGTGCCGTGCGTGCTATGCGGCGTGAGACTCTCCTCAACATAACGAGGTGAAGTGTTGGCATTCACCCAAGTGCGCCACGAGGAGAACGGGGGGCTGTGTGTGTGCGATGCGACGGTGGCGTGCCCAGGAAAGTCGAGATGCGTCGTGCGTGCGTCGCATGACGCGGACCGAGACCACGGGCCAGTGAGACAATCCACTCAACCAACAGTGAGGTGGTAGCATCACCACGGAGGGCGGGGGACGTGTGTGTGTCACGTTAGCGTGCT